TTGGACCAATCTTCGCTGGTATCAGCGAGGGAAGGAAACGGAAAGGAGGAAACTTGTTGTTCTTGGGACATCAATTGCCGGGGGACAGCAGGGAACAATGGAAGCAACAAAAACAGCAATATCAGCACAACAACAACAACAACAACAACAACAACGACAAGAATAATGAGCGAATCACACACGATACTACTCATAATCATAAGCGCCATGAGAAGACGAGCCATCATGCTCCTCATCATCATCGTCATCATCATCATCATCATCATCGCGAATGTCATCATCATCATCATCATCGCCACCATCACCAGCACCAACACCATCATCACTGCAAACCTGGCAGAAAGTACGGCCTTTGCAGTGCCAGGGCTGATATGGACAGATCTGGTCTGGAAATGATGCCACTTCTGTGCATAGTCGCAAGGTAACCGCATGATGGACCGCACGTCACCGACTGATCAAACAATTAATTTATGGAGATGGTCTGGAAGTCTGCCATAAATTGGAAGTCCAAGCTCTGGCCTTGCATCAAAGCACGCAAGTCGGGCGGGGATTTGCCTCCATACAGAACGCCCAGGAGGCGCTGCTTGAGCTGTTTCCAAGTGCTCTCCGCGCGACACGAAGCACGTGCCCCAAACTGCCACAGGAACTACGAGCTTTCGTAAGAACAGGCAATTTGCCATAAACGAAACAGGCGGGCATCCGACGCGGCCTTCGTTCAAGCGATCTTGGTAGGTGGGCCTGTTTTTGCCATCAATGCGGGTGCGAAAATCAACTTTGAGGATGCGAAGTGTGTGCACAACGGCAACAACCCTAGATTGGCCGACTTCCTGAGCAGCCGCAGAACCCCGAGGAAGGAATTTCTGTTTCCCAACATTCTCTTCGAGGCCCAACCTACCAGCCCAGCGTGCCCAGAACTGGAGGGTGCGAACGAGCTGAGCGTGGTCATGGACCACCACGTTACGATCGTCCAGGTGACCGCAGTCGCCTTGGGTTCCTCGCGGCAATAGGGTTGAATGGGAGCCCACGAGATGGCGTTGAGCGCCATCGGGGATATGGCATCTCCCTGGGGCAGGCTGGAAGTGACAACTTCGGCCTCCGCACCAACGAAACCTTGTGCAAACCGAGCCATCTGTGCTGTTGGCTCCACTGGAACCTGAACAAGTCGACCATTTCCGCAGGCATACCTAGCCGGCTGAGGGCATGCGTGGCTGTGCTGGGGTGGGCGCGGTCGAAACACTTGGCACAATTGAAAGAAAGAATGCCATAACAGCGCACGTATGCATTCTGCAGGGCATGCACAGAATGTGTGCACGCCTCGTTGTTGGAAGGCGCCATGCGCACCGAGCGGGGCCCTGGCCCACGCCTGTTGCCGTGCTCTCGTGGCTCGGCGAGCCCACGCCGAACTAGCAATCCTGCAGAGATCTTCAAGCACTCAAACCGACATGAAGAGAGGAAAGCCTGCGCGCAACTCGACCCTCTCTCTTTTTCGCATGAAGCGAGCATGTACTATCAGGTTGGAACAAAACACGGTGCAGCCAGATGCTACAGTCTAGTTAGCAAGACTGCACCTGCCGTCCGGCCTGTGCCAGCTAACTATTAAGCAGAAAAACACGGCGCACCGCAAACTGTTATTCCCCCATGGGCGTGGAGGGCGGGGAAAATCGACACAAAACTACACGATCTGTCCAAGTATACTGTACTGCGCCACTTCGGGCACCCGGCTTGAGCACACACACACAGCTGCAAAGGTGCTGCAATTCACAACAATGTGTTGCACGGTCGCAGCACGCACTACTGACAAAGCTACTCAAACTGACAACAACGCATACTAGAGCAAGCACACAGACGCCAGTCCTGCTGCACGCAGGGACCTAAAGCACCGTGCTAGATGATCCCACTTTGATGCACTCGTTCGTGCACCCCGTGAGAATAGGTTCGAGGACTACAGGACGGGCGTCCCCTACATCTAAACCGTGCACAGGGTGAGGGTCTTGCTTATAATAGGAAGGTGAAACTGCACATAATAGTGCCACTCTGACGGATAGCAGCGGTAGCTGGATCTCATCACCGCTCCAACCATCGGGGCCGGCCGCTTTGCCACCTGAAGCACAAGCCTGCTGCTGAAGCTCACTAGCAGTGATCGGCTGCCAGCCGAGCTGAGGCGCATGAGCACGATGCCCGGCATGCTCGGCACTCCAAGCGCGGTTGGCATCATCAGGTCGGACTTCCCGTTGCCAAATGCGCCGCCAGAACGTGCGAAGAAAGGTCAGGCTGCAAGCAACTCCGCTGCTGGGAGTTCTGTCAAGCGAAACATTGGCAGGCGCCGGCTTGTGGCTGCGCCGCACCCACTTCCGCACCGAGCTGTCGGAAGCTCGAAGGCGCTCTTTCCACTGGTCTAGGCGCTGCAGAGCCTCAGCTTGCTGCAGTTTTGTTGAATCTGCGTCTCTAAATCGACAATGGCAGTGTGCAAGGGAATGAGTGGGCCTTCGTATAGGACCAGAGCCTCGGCATCATTATGCAGGGCCTACGCTTGCTCATTTGTCAAGTCCCAGGGCTGCCCGCAGCGCGAAATATGCGGCTTTCCTCATCAGGGTTATAGGCAGCAAAGGGAGAGTCGCAGGAAGGCGCGCCGCGGCAGGATGAGTGCGCCACACTTCTTGCTACGCAGCGTCCAAAGCACGCCGCCACGCATTGACAGTGACGCCCTGTGGGCAGGCGTAGCAGGCAGTGGACTGCAGACGGTCAGTGTTTGCAGCATCGCTCGCAAGATCAAGAGCAATGCGGATGGGAATGTGATCACCCCAACTAGTGAGATCACGCACAGCATTGCAGCGGTGGGTCAAGTTGGTGATACCATAGTCAATGCATCGATGGCCCTCCCATCTGGTGGCAAACCATCGGGCGCAGCTATGGTCCCAGGGACCAACAACGGCTGCATCTCAAGCCACTCATTTTCTTCCGGTGTCCAGTTGAAGTCACCGAGAAGAATCCAAGGTTGACGGGCCCGGCGCGCCCAGAGAGCTTCGCACAAAGCTTGGTTCATGTCATTGACACTGTCATCACCCGGCCTGCGGTAGACGGCCACCATGAAGAAGGAGCCAAAGTCTAAAGCAACAAATTGCCCGACGACCCCTTGCCAAGAGCGCACCGGCTGGACCTTGATGCTGTGCCGCACAAGGACAGCGACGCCTCCCGAATGAACATCATAACCACGGCGAAACTGCGTGGTGGTGCCCGGCACGTGGAAAGCATGATAACCTAAGCGGCTGGCTTGAGACACAAAGGCCTGAGCTTGCTGACTGGAGGCACACACCTCTAGAAGGGCAATGACATGGACTTTCTCGATCATATAGGCTTTGGCAGCTTCAAAAGCCTTTGCGCTATCCGCCACATTCAAGGTGAGTAAAGAGAGCTGATGTGAGGCATCTGGCCCTGGATGGGGTTCAATGCCTTCCTCACACAATCCCTGTACCATCTCGTGTTCTGCAGGGGCGTGACACGAGCAAGCCGGCGCTTGCCTTTGCTTTTGCTGCGCCCTGCATGGCGGGCTCGAAATGCGTCTTCGAGCTGGCGAGCCTTGCTCTTACTGGCCTGAGCTTCCAAAGCCTGGACCTGGTCAGAGGGAAGGCACATCTCCTGAAGCACGATGGTGTGCACCTGCTGTCGCATGTAAGCCTTAGCAGCCTCATACGCATTGTGTCGGCCTTGCACATTGAGGGAAACCATGCTAGGGGACCTAAACCCGAAAGACGAACCACAAAGGCCGGGATTAGGTTCTATGCTTTCGGCGCACAGATCGCGATACCAACGGGTACGCTGCAGTGGCGTGATGCGGCTGAGGGCCCCTTTGCCGCGTCGCCCCGGGCCGGCGGCCTTATTCGGCATCTTCGCCTGCACGCGGGCTTCCAAGGCATCAATCTGCGCACGATTGACGCCTGTGGCATGCAAGTAACGCTTCAGCGCAACGAGGTTTCTGCGCAGGCCACTCCAGAGCTGCCATCGCCGGCCGTAGTTCAAGAAGCCGCAGCAATCCTCAGAAATGTGGCTAATCTTTGACCACCGCACATAGCACCGCGAGCAATATATGCTTGATGCAACCAGCTTAAGGGCATGCGAGCTATAGTGCTTTTGTATTCCTGAAAGCGCCTGTGGCGCTTGGCAATGTTGGCAGCGACAGCCTTTCGGCCACTTTCGATAAGACGGTTAGCATCGCGAGGGGCATAGTATTTTTTACCTGCGCCTCCAGGACAGCATTCCGCCAGATGGGCCGAGACACCGAGATCGAGAACATGCTTGGACGGGCAAGAAGTCATGCCCTTGTGGCAAAGGCGGCACTCCCACACCCTTTGCTCCGCAGAGATGGCGTCAGCCTGCACAACCACAGGGCGTTCCCGGATGCGGGCAACAAGGTGACGTTCATGTTGGTGGAAGCACTCTATGTGAGACTTGCGCCGCTTGGCAAGCACTTTAATACTAGCAGATCGAGCACGGTACTGGCAAAGATTACACCCCCAAAGAATGCCATCAGTACCAAGCGTGCTGGATTGACCGGTCGTGGCCTGCCTCTTAGCTGACGCTTTGCATCGCGCGGAGGACTGCTTGTCAGTGTGAGCGGAGCGGCCCGTGCCAGGCGAAGCGGAGGCTGTAGCCTGGGAACGAGCTTGTGCGCCCGACAGGTTGGGAGCGGAAGAAGCTGCCGGCATCCAAGAACTCTCACTAGCTGCTAGCAGGGGGCAACCACCCGGGGGCCTGAGTCCTGAGACCGGGCCCGCTTGGACCCAGCTTAAGGCGCGGCCTTGGAAGAAGTGGCGGCGCAGTTGTCACCCTGGGAGGTGGCAGAGCTGGCGCTGGGCAGCCACGACTTGCCTCCTCCTCGCATGTCCTCAAGCAACTGGTGAAGTGTGCCTAGATCCTCTTTGGCGTTGGCCCACTCACGCGCGCAGGAGCTGACTGCGAAAAGCAAGGCAAACGGGTGTGTCCGACAGGCTGCCAAAAGCAGTGACAGCACCAAGGCCATTTTTTACCTCGTCCTTTGTCCCCATGACAACTATGCGGAGTCGTAGTCTGCGGGCAGCAGCATAAAGGCATAACGCGGTGCCACTTGTCGAAAGTGTCGGGGATGGCACAGCTTTCGGTCTCCCCAGTGGCCTCCCCATCTTGCTCCCACAACGGCTCAACATCTTTACGATGCCGCCCAATCCAAGTAATGATCTCTGAACGCAAAGTGCGGGAGCGCACAGCAAGTTCGCTTTAAATCTTGTCCCAGCTTTCACTGTTTTGCAGTCCAAGAGCTGCGGCCAAGCAAAGGAATCCACATGCCCCTTCAGCTCCACAGTCGATTTCCTCGCAGAGAACATTAGAGGGTTTGTCCTTCTTACCTCGAGAGCGACTCCTACCTCTAGCCTCCTCACCAGCGACAGGAGATTTAGCAGGCTTCCGGGTTCCGGCAGCAAGCACAGCGGCAACACCATCTTGCTTCACTGACCCACCTGGCCGGGTGGTGGGCGCGCGAAGTTCGGCAGCAGCATGGGCTTTCAACGGAGTTGAGATGCCGCATGTGTGCGGCTTTGCGCCCTGGTGAGCACCAGGCAGGTCTCCACTGCGAGGATTTCAGTGATGGCTCCAGCATCGGCATCTGGGAAAATGCACTTGACGACCCATTTATTACGCCCTCCACCGCGACGCAGGATGGTGATATCCGAACATCCAGCACCCTGGAAACACTGAATCAACATCAACAACGAAAAACAACAGCAGCCACAACCCCGA